CCTTCCTTCCTTAAGTCTATTTAAAGTGTTGATTTTCCATATGCAATTCGATTCTTCCCTATTCAGATTCCCCAAAACCATCTTAAAATCATTATCATTACTAGTATCAACAAATGTTTATTGTGACCCTATCACAGGACCTTGAGCCAATCTGGTTTCTTTGGACAGTCTCTGTCCAAAGGTACTACTCATCACCAAAGTGTGATGAGTTTATATCATTCTCACCAGTGTTCATCCTCCTACATTTTTATGTTCCATACTTTTATAGCTTTAATAATGGATGATTGGAGTTACCATGCCCAACACATTTCTGACATTAGTACTTGCCCATTCTGTGGTTATTAGCAAGAAGAGAGCTGTGTGATACGTATGGTGCCCAGTGGGTGCTCAATGAACTCATTATCACCATATGTAGAGTTCACCTCCAACTCAACACGTGCCAGACAGAACTCTCCATCTTTCAGTATGGAAGTGTTCCCCACAGATAGGTAGACCATCATTTTGGCAGAGCCAGTGCCAGCCATGAGTCCTCACTGCACATCCTGTCTGTCAGGAAACCCTTTTGACTCTACTTCTAAAGTATACTCATAAGCTGACAGGTTCTTAAACCTCCATTGCCACCACGAGGATCTGAGCCTATTTTCTCTTTGCCTATGTTACTGAACAAGCCTCTAAAAGGTGACTCCCACTTGCTTTTGGCTCCCTGTGCTGTTGGCAGTCTGGGTGATTCTGCAAATGTCAGCTCACGTGACTTCTCTGCTTGAAAGCGCCAGTGATTATTTTGTGTGCATGTGGTGCCATCCTGGGACTTGAACTCAGGGTCTGGGCACTATTCACTTTCCTGAGGTTCTCCCCACCCCTTCTTTCTCCTCTCTTCTCCTCTCCCCTCCCCTCCCCTCTCCTCCCCTCCCCTCCCCTCTTCTCTCTTCTGCTCTCTTCTCCTCTCCTCTCTTTTCCTTCCCCTCCTTTCCTCTCCTCTCCTCTCTCTTCTTCTCCTCTCCTCCCCTCCCCTCTTCTCTCTTCTCTCTCTCCTCTTCCCCCCCCCCCCAGCTTTTGGTAGTTGATTAGAGGTAAGAGTTTTACAGACTTGTCAGCTTAAGCCTCAGAACTCAGCCTCCAGAATAGCTAGGATTGCAGGCATAAGCCATTAACACTCCGTCACAGTGACTCCATCTCAGTGTCAGAGCCTCCAAATCTCTCGGGGATCTGCCCTTTCTCCTAGATTATTGCCTCTCTGACCTTATCCTTCATCTTCAGTCCTCTGTTTCATCCTTGCTAGTCTAATTTACTACCCCAGCTGTCTTTAGTATGGATGACTCCCTTTCCCCGTGCTCTTCTGGGATTAATAACTTCATTGGTTAACTTCTTCACCTCTTTGAAGTTTTAGCTCAAAGTCGCTTTCTTAATAGAGTCTGATGTGCTCTTATTATTTAGTATCACAAGCTAGACTCTACCCACCCCTGCTACTTCCAATCCCTCTTTCCAAGTTCAGTTGTGCTTTTTTTCCCCATAACCAAAGTCATTTATTGCTAGAGTGACACTCAGTTTTGTTCACTAATATGTCCCATGTGTCTAGAAGAAAGAAAACATAGTCATTATTTAAGTCATTTTTTTAATCAAGGAAATTTTAATTTGTGGGAAAGGTGACAAGTAGGCAGAAAGTGTCCAGTTGGAAATGAGTTACTTGAAAGCACCAGTGCTCCACTGGCTGTTGAGGAAGCAAAGTAAAAATTATGTTTAAAGAAGTCAAGCCTGAGTCCAGGATTTCGCAGCCCTTAGGCCTACACAGTAATAAGGCTTTAACGAAGAAAGATGAAGGGCAAGGATGTAAAACAGGTCCTGTAGGAGGGAGAGGGCGAATATGTTTGAATTTCTATATGTGGGAAACAGAGCTAGGAAGCTTGGGAGGGAGACACAGGAGAGTGAGGCAGGGTGTGAGTGTGATCAGAGCAGACTTTATACAGAGGTGGACCTCCCTGCTGAGTGCTGGTGGCTCACGCTTGTAATACTAGCTCCTCAGGAGGCTGAGCTCTGAGGATTGGGGTTCAAAGCCAGCCTGGGCAAGAAAGTCTGTGAGACTCTTATCTCTAGTTAGCCAGCAAAAAATACCCCCAAAAACTCAAAGTGGAGCTGTGGCTCAAATGGTAGATTGCTAGCTTGAGCAAAACAGTGGAGTTCAAACTCTAGTACCAGCATGAAAAACAAAAACAAAACACAAAAATCTGACCACCCTGTACAACAGGGGGTTATTAATTGATACTAATAAAAAAGTGTAAAAACAAAAGCCAAAACCAAGGTACAAGTTGTTATAAGCTCTAAAGACCCCTTTCCAAGTTTAAATAGTGAACACAAACTAGAAACAGGGAAGGTGCTTTGTATATATGTCTATAAAGGTTAATAAAAAAACTACATGGTAGCTTTTGAGTATGAATCCTAAGGTTTGGTATTGAGATTGTTTAGTAAATTTACAGGGCTCAACATTCAGCCCAGATGCGTGGATCCCTTCACTGTTTTTTCAAAGGGAAAAGAAAGCTGTTGGTTTCCACGATGCATTCACATATTCCCTAGTATTGTTATTTTATCCGAAACATTAGGAACTGGCTGAACAGGCGAACATCATTGGCATGGTTACATACTCTAGTAGGCACTAAGCGTGGTAGGCAGTGTGGGCTAGTGAGGAGGGGCATCCAGGAGGCTGGCTGGATTCTGAAGAGAAGTGGTTTAAGTACTTCTGGGGAAGTGACCTGTGGATCTGCTCTCACTTCTCAGCTTTTATTCACACTCTTAAAACTAGAATAAGTAAAGATATTTAGTAACCCAGATGAATTTCATTTATACCAGAGGCCTGTATTCATTTTCCATTTCTTAATTTAACCCAAGGCTGTATACTTTGTAAAGAAAAGAGCTTTATTGTGCTCTAGTTTTGAGGCTGATAGAGTTCAGTGGCCCCATCTGTTTGGCTTGTGGTGAGATCAGAAGCCAGAGGTGAGGGAGGGGCCAGACAGGTGCTCTAGCACAACGTTCTCAAGTGGGAATCAACTAGGGTCCTAGTTGGAACCTAACTCTGTTCCGAGGGTGAGCTTCCTAATCACTGAAGGACTTGCCCTGCAGGAACTGCCTCTTAAAGATGTCAGCACCTCTTCACTGCACTAGAGAACAAATTTGGAAACACATGCTTATATCCAAACCAAAGCAAAGCTGCAGACATCTCGCTAACAGAAGGTTCTGGATTTGGAATTTCTACATTAAGTGTCTCACTGTTAAAACACTGGAATCCTTTATTGGTTAGACATTTCTGTGTATCATACAGCTTGGTTCTTAGGCAATCTACAATTTACTATAAGGAATCTGATTATATTCAAGTTTATTAATAAGTAACTTGTCTTTGTGTCACACAGTAGTTAAAATTTTTGATTTGTATCTCAATTTTTTAAAATCCATTAAGGGCCATCAAAATTTTAAAGCCAAGTTAAATAGTAAAATTCTTTCCCTAGTTGCTGAGAATAGGATCTAATATCACAAACAGTGGTAACATCTGACTCACTTTCTCAGGTTTGTACTCTGATTTTTTGTTTTTGTACTGATCCTGAGACTTGAACTCCAGATCTAAGTGTTGTTTCTGAGCTTTTTTTGCTAGTACTAGGTTAGCACTCTACCACTTAAGCCATAGTTCCATTTCTGGCTTTTGCTGGAATTGGAGAGTCTCAGGGTCTTTCCTGTCCTAGTTAGCTTCAAATTGCTGTCCTCAGATCTTCAACCTAAGTAGCTAGGACTACAGGTGTGACTGCAATCTAGCACCCAGCACATCTGTGCTGTTCATTTTATTTTTGGTATTATACCAGCTCTTCTTGTGTATTAGTTTTTCTTTCTTTCTTTTGTTTTTTTTGGGGGGGGTCCGGTCATGGGGCCTGAACTCTGGGCCTGGGCGCTGTCCCTCAGCTCTTCAGCTCAAGGCTAACTAGCGCTCTACCACTTGAGCCATAGTGCCACTTCCGGCTTTTTCTACTTATGTGGTGCTGCGGAATCGAACCCAGGGCCTTATGCATGCAAGGCAAACACTCTTACCACTGAGCCACTTTCCCAGCCCAGTTTTTGTTTCATTCATGTTCATACCATTTTTAAAAATCTAATCTTGGAACCAAAAGTCTGGGTTAAGTTTCAGGTCTTTTTAAATAGGGTTTTCTAAATATGAGTATGTTGAAATAGGCCTATATTAATAGGTATAATCATATATTTATACATATCTATATACACATCTTATATATAAATTCAAATGTTTAAAATGTATATGATGCCTATATTTTTAACATCAGGATATATGTTATATGACTATACTATGTAATATAAATCAAAATTTAATATGTATATAGTATATAATTATATGTAAAATATACAACATGTTATATAATCACATATTAACAGTATATAGATATGTATATATATATGATACATCTATTACATAAAATTACAAAATACAAGCAGATTTTTTCTCTTTTGGTTTTAAAGTGAGTATTTATCTTGGAAGTTGATTTTTATTTTAATATTTCCATACTAATATAGTACTTACTAAACATCATTTGGGAATATTATTTGGAAGTCTATTTGAAAGTAGATATTTTTTTTCCTGATAAGAGTTGAATTGAAAAGGCAGTTCCCTTTACTCCTGCCAGAAATCAATACCTTCTACATTAGTCTTTGTTGTCTATTAGTGTTTGTAGATGATTAATTTTATGCATTATGAGTCAGTATATTTTTGGTGTTATGTAACAGCCAATTTTGTTTATTTGTTGGTGTGCCAGTACTTGCTTGAACTCAGGGCCTTGTGTTTCCCCTTGGCTTGATTGCTCAAAGCAGGCGCTCTATCACTTGAACATACCTCCAGTTCCAACACTAGCCAATTTCTGTAACAATCCCACCCTGGTGGGTAGACAGAATTGACACTGTATTGTTATAACCATTTAATATGAAAAGTATGACAGCCAATTCTTTTTGTTTTTCAGAAATGTGTTACAGATGAGTGCTTCTTTTTTGAACGGTTGGAATCAAATAACTACAATACTTACCGGTCACGGAAATACTCCAGCTGGTATGTGGCGCTGAAACGAACTGGGCAGTATAAACTTGGATCCAAAACAGGACCTGGGCAGAAAGCCATACTTTTTCTTCCAATGTCTGTGAAGAGCTGATTTGTACAGCACCATCTAATCTCATTTCACATGAAGGTATATTTAAGAAATTTGTTAATGAAAAAGAAAATATATACATTCAACTTGGATAACTGTTAGATAACTTTTAATCTAATAATAGTTAACCATTGCCCTTACCATTTCTGTAAAGAAAATTCTGCTGGCAACCAGTGAGGATTAGCTACAGCTATAATGTTTTTCATTATTATTTGCTTTATTTTAAAAGAGGATTTAAAAATGTGTGTTTACAAATTCTTATCATAGACATCAACTACATTAAGAAAATTTAGCATCAGGCCTTTAATCCATCCCAAATCTCCTGTCTTCGGCATTAATCTGGGTGACTGGGTTAAACATATTGAGAACATATAAATGTGAATTTAATCTATTCCTGTCATAGTTTTGTAATTGTCTGGCAGGTGTTTGTGATAGAGTTTATAAAACAGGCCCGTGTACACTGCCGGCAGTTCTTCCATGGTGAAATCAATCTTGTCAAACCCTTCTCTGTATCCATAGAGCAGAAGTCTTGCAACTCTGCGGGTGATGAGAGTGGTATTTTCAGTCTTTGCAAGGGCATTGAGATCCATCCACTCGCACCTCAGGCATTCATGATGGCAAAAGTCTATGGTGAATGAGTTTGGGTTAAGGCGGCAGATGATATACATATCTGATTTCCCAAATGCTCCTGGACTCCTGTGCTGCTGTCGAATACTCAGGAGGGACCTGAATTCTGATTTTATCCCTGTCTCTTCAAACACTTCTCGGATTGCTGTGTCCCCTACACACCAGAGAGATGAACAGATAATAAGGATCACATTTTTAGAGACTTCATCAAAGATCTTCAGTGAAAATCTAAAAATTCAAATCCAATACAAACGTTGCATTCTGGACATCCTGAATACAGAGGTTTTGGGTTGTTGTTTGTTTTTTTTTTAATGCTCTACATTTAAGACACTTTTCAAATACTGACCATTTCTTTGCTCCTTGGAGGTATAGTCATTTGTGCATTTTGGGGGTCACATCTTTTTAATCTCTTCTTGCTCTATTTCCCAAAAAGGTAAAAACAGGTTGCGAGGGCTTGAAACGCACTTGCAAAGCTATAGTTAATGTTCAGACATATTTCTTCATTATTACCTTGTCCCTGAATAGCCATAATCCCAAGCACCAAAGAAAAGGGAGTTGGCAAAAATGAAAGCATAAAGGAATAAATCTAGATTAAGAGAATACTTAGAAACATAATTGTATTCTGGTCTACATGTTTGTTATTAACTATCTTATTGTGACTCTTAAAAGTTATATAGTCTCCCTATGCTTATTCAAATGTGTATTTTTGTTCCTTAAATGCTCTGAAAAGTAACCCTTTGGACCCTGATCAGTCCTCTGTACCAGTAACCAGAAGTTGGCATTAGCTCATGAACCCAGGCAGGCTGAATATCACGGATGCACAGGATGAGCTAGTGGTCCTTCAGTCACCAAGGAAGGTGACTGGAAATTGGCACTGTCTGGTACTTTCGATCAGTTTAACTTGAATCAGCACAGCAGTGAGTAGATTTAAAATAGAAAGTGCTGACAAGAGTTGTGGAGAAGCCCTTTCCACCACAAAACAAATCTCTTCAAGGATTTCAATATGAATTTCCATTTTTTTAAATCAAGATAAAGTGAGTCACTCTCTTATGCCTTTATTTTAACAGATTGTAATCTAAACTGAAGTAACATTTATTGTGTAAGTATGAAGAACTTAAAAGAGGTTTTGTTGTTTTTGCTGGGTACCTGTGGCTTAGCTGTGTAATCCTATCTAATCAGAAGACTGTGATCTGAGGATCACAGTTCAAAGCTAGCCCAGGTAGCAAAGTCTGTGAGACTGTTATCTCCAATTAAGCACCAAAACAAAAACCAGAAGTGGAGCTGTGGCTCAAGTTTTAACTTTGAGCTAAAAAGCTCAGGGGCAGGGCCCAGGCCCCTGAGTTCAAACCCTAGGATTGGCACCAAAACAAACACCAAGAGACATATGTTTAAATATGTCATCTTAGTTTAACTATAGGACAATAATGAAGTTTATATTTGCTATTTGTAATATTTAATACTAGGATTAGTGTGAAATAGGAAAAACTTTGCAGAATATGGCCTCTGCAGAGATTATTTTCTTCAGTGCAATGAAACTCATTAGGAAGGCAATTTGTCTATTAAAGCTTACAGAGATACTTTTATACTCAAGTTGTATTGTTTTATACATGGCCCTTTTCTAAAAGGCACCTTGGGTAATAGCTATTTCATTTACATAGTATTGTTGAAGATTCTAAGCAACCAATTTTCCTAGTTAACTACTTACTTACTGGGACTTAATAAAAACCCAGTATGAATATTTAACTGTCTGCAGATGTAGTATTCCCCAAGTATGTTACATGCTTTCCTGAGTACAGGGTTTGAATAACATAAACTACACAAATATTGGATGGTGTGGCTTCATCATTAATATCTAATGTGTTGTGTGCCGCTGGTTCACACTTGCATTCCTAGCTCCCTGGAAGTCTGATATGGGGAGGATTGAGGTTCCAGACTAACCCCAGCAGAAAAAAAAAGTCTGCAATTGTGTGTGCCTGCAACACATCAGGGCTGGGAAGCCTAAGTCAGGTGGACTGCAGCATACCTGAGTGACAAGCAAGACCTTAGCTCAAAAATCACCAGTGAGGAACGGGCTGGCTTAGCCATGGGGCACTGCCTAGCAAGCACAAGTTCAGTTCTACCACAAAATACGTTATTTTGTACTGTATTATTAAACAGAAATGCCCTCACATAGACCTAATTTTTCCATAATTTCTAGCTGCTGCCAGGGTTTTATGAACTCTAAGGCAAGCTTATACTTACACTCCATCTAGGAAGTATGGTGGAGGAGGAAGTATGGTGATGCCAGTTGCTGCTTCTTTTCTTAAATTTGTCTGGATTGAGGAAAATAGATATGATTTCTGGATAGGTGGGATGTTTTGAGAAGCACAAATACTTCAGAAAAGGAGTGCATTTTAAAATTAGCTGGGCTTAAAGAAAGATGCTGGAGGTAACTTAAACCTCTACTTCCATTGGCTTGGCAATGTTATATCTTCATTTATATCTAAATATATAGTAAATTCAGACGATCCAGATAAGTGCAAAAAAAAATCTGCTCATTCATGAAGACACAGCTTGGATGGAGACGCTACCCAAGCCTCCTAGACCCAGAATACAAGTTAAATGAGTTCACAGGCTCTTACTTGGAGCTCTGGCATCTTTTCTTTTCTTTTTTTTTTGAGACAAAGTCATGATAGCCCAGTCTGGCCTTAAACTCATGATTGTCCAGATTCAGCCTCCCGAGTGCTGTGATTGGGATCACAGTTGTTCATCACCATTCGTCAAAAAAAAAAAAAAAGAAAATACTATGTAGTTTGCAGAGTATCTACCAGAATGTACACAAAGGGTCAGTACGTACCTGAACCCAACATTTGTGTTATATACATGTGTGTATTTATTTATGTGTAATCAAACATATGTGTGTGTTTATGTAATCAATTTATTCAAATTGTTAGGAGTTGGCTATATAATGTGCATATCTATAATATTTTAAAAATAAGAGTTCAAGAACATACACAATTTTCAGTAAAACAGATTTAGGAGACTGCTGTGATATTGTTGGCTGAAGAGAATCGAGGATGTAAACATTAAAGATGCTAAGCTGGTCACTGGTGGTGGCTCACACCTATAATCCTAGCTGCTCAGGAGGCTGATGACTGAGGATCACAGTTTGAAGTCAGTCCAGGCAGAAAAGTTCAGCTACCTAACTGCTATCTCTAACTAACCAGCCAGAAAACCCCCTTCAGACTGGAGGTGTGGCTGGAGAGGTAGTGCCAGCTGAGAGCAAAAAGTATAGCAAGAGCAGGAGGCCCTGAGTTCAAGCCTTGGTACTGGCACAAATCCTGGTAAAAGAAATAATATTGGTATCTACTAACAATTGGATTAGGATGACACTGAATTTGATACAGTGGTTTAAAGAAAATCCTATTTTTTGTTTGTGCAAATCCAGTGACATAAAGAATATTTAGCTTATATCTCATTTCACGGTCTTAAATACAAGTTCAGTAAGTTAGTAGACTATTTCTCAACTATGCATTGGTTTTCTTCATATCCAAAATAAAGTTTTCATAAAGAACTGAATCACTGTGACTATAATTATCTTTATCATAAATTTCTCTGTAGGGGAATTCCAACAGCTTTAGTCATATTCAAAATAAGCTTAATGATGAATATTCAAAGCTTTTCTGCTTCTCATAGATGAGTCTAGAAGCAGTTGTACCCCTAAGGGTCTACTCCTAAAGGGAGGGATAGGTATTATGTTTCAATGGTATTACTTACAGTAATGAAACAAGTTATAATAAAAATTTTGTTAATTTTGTATTGGCCCTTGAAATAATCTGTCTGAAACTTTCTGAGTTGGTTTGAACAAATTAAAAAGTTTAAATTCTTAGCTATAATACAAGAAAATAAGCACATAATTTTCTCAGTATTTTCATGTTTATTTATTAAAAATAGGAGATACATACCAATATCCTCTCCAGGCTCTGACAGGCCTCCTGGAAACTTCCATGTGTTTTTTAACTGCAGTGTAAAAAATTAGAAAATAAGGTTTACAGTTTTTTTCATGCATACACACATGTCCACTCGCATATTCTACAAAGCCACCCTTATTGGTTGAGGTGATTAAGGGGTTGGAGTCATGGCTCAGCATTGGCAGTGAGCAAAAACATCCGACCAATAGTCTGAAACAGTCTTTGACAAAAATAATTTGTTTGAAGCTGGGCACTGGTTGCTCATGCCTTAATTACTAACTACTGAGGAGGCTGAGATCTGAGGATCATGGGTTGAAGTCAATTGAGGCAGGAAAGCCTGGGGTTATCTTGAATTAACCATCAAAAAGCCAGAAATGGAGCTGTGGTTCAAGTGGCAGAGAGCACCAGCCTTGAGTGAAAAAGCTGAGTGACAGTGCCCAGACCCTGAGTTCA